ATTGAGTGGAGGAGAATGTCACGGACAAATAGTCCCACATTGGCTAGGTGTAGGGCCGAAAAGCAGTATTTAAGTCCTGGGCTGCCCACCACCCACAAGGGCTCTTTTGGGAGGTGTGTTATCTTCCATTCTTATTCTCTGCAAGGCCGTTTACAGTCATCGATGATCGGCGAAGCAGAAAACAAACCGACGCTTTGGCGATTGCCCTTAAGCATCTGTAGGGAGAAATTAACAATAATGTTATTATTATTCGGGGAATTTACGTCCATGTCACATAATTTTTTTATTTAAACATATTTCGCATAAAAAATATCATAATTTATATATATTTTAAATGAAATGCATATTTTTATCTAAATTCCAAACTTTTGGGTGTTAAATATGTTAATATAAACAGCTAGGTAATCTTTGAAGCATAAAAGTTCAAACTTTAATTAAAATTTATTCGGAGCTAAGATTTCAATAAGCTTGTAGTCAAACTGACAGCTCGATGTGACAGAGCCAGTGATTTAAAAATTTTGTTCAATTCGACTCAAATCAAACTTAGATCAAGTGATTAAATAACTATTAAAAGATTTACAGGCACATTATATCGTTAATCAACTTTTTTAATAAATAAGCTAAGGTGTGTAAGATAAAAAAAAAATAAAATTTGAGTATGAGATATATAAATACATAAGAATTAGGTGCTATATATAAAAACTTTCGGAAAACTGAACAAATTGCTCAAAAGTCAAAATGCCTTCCATCCTCTAGCGGTTCGCTGTTCAGTCCCCCGGCTCACCAACCCCCGGCTCACCAACCCCCGGCTTACCAACCACCAAAATTTGCGTACATAAGACGTACGCAGAGTTGCGTACGTCTGTAACCTGCAAACAGGTTACAGGGAGGATTTCAGGAGATTATAACCGCGTTATACACCCTATAACCTCCCTGTAACCTCCCTGTAACCTACCTATATATGAAAACAGAAGCGCGAAACTGACTCGAAGGTACAGGTAGGTTAAGGATGGTAGCCGCCGCATTTGGAGCGAGAAGGAGGCGATCATCCCTTCGGCCTCTTCTCACGCAAACCCTACTCCAGCGCTGAACCTTCATCAATGGCCGCATCCGCTTCCTCTTCCATCTATTCACCCCTCCAATCTCCCGCAAGGCCTACGCGCGGCCTCAGCACCGTTTGTTTCCCCGGCGCCTCCTCCGTTTCCCTTCGCCGGCGCGGCCTGCGCTACCCCTTCCTTGTTCGGATCGGTTTCTGCTGTGCGTCGTCTGATAAAATCCTGACAAGGGTGTCCGCTAGGTCAGTTCCGGTGATGGATCCGACGAAACGAGAGGTAGCGCCGAAGGTTTCTACCGTTGTGGATGTCGATCTCGGAAACCGAAGCTACCCGATTTACATCGGTTCGGGACTACTCGATGTCCCCGATCTGCTCCAGAGGTATGCGAATTGCGTTGCTCTAATTGCTTCTGGAATTGTCGCGCTTGATTATGCTTATTAATTACGTATTAGCTTTTCTCAGGCATGTGGATGGAAAGAGGGTGCTTGTTGTGACGAATACCACGGTTGCTCCTCTGTACCTCGATAGAGTTGTCGAGGCTTTGACACGGGGGAATCCTCATGTTTCTGTGGACAGCGTGATCATACCTGACGGGGAAAAGTACAAAAACATGGTGAGTACTTGTGATACAAAAGAAAGAAATTGGTTTTTATCTGTTTTTCAGAAACTGGTAACTCGATTCCCTGACTTATTCAGCTTGAACTAGAAGTTTTTTTTTTTTTTTTTTTTTTTGGTAGGAAACGTTGATGAAAATATTTGATAAGGCAATAGAATCTAAGATGGACCGTCGCTGCACATTTGTGGCTCTTGGTGGGGGAGTGATCGGTGACATGTGCGGATTTGCAGCTGCTTCTTATGTCCGTGGTGTTAACTTTATTCAGATTCCCACGACTTTGATGTCTCAGGTATCCTCTCTGTCAATTTTTTACTTCATTTAGCTGTATAACTGGTAACTTTCTGATCTACTCGGTCCTGTTTATTCGTATTTAGGTGGACTCTTCTGTTGGTGGGAAGACTGGCATAAATCATCCACTGGCCAAGAACATGATTGGGGCATTCTACCAACCACAATGTGTTCTTATAGATACTGATACTCTAAACACGCTACCAGATAGAGAACTAGCTTCTGGTATAGGCGAAGTTATCAAATATGGGCTTATCAGGGATGCAAAGTTCTTTGAGTGGCAAGAGAAGAACATAAAGGCACTTTTGGCAAGGTAACAATTGGGTTCAGCGATTGAAAACATGTTTACGAAACCCTTTGGATCTTTAATCTAACACAATTTTTTGTTCATTGTATTCATCTCCTTTTTCTGTCATAACTGGATCTAGATTGAAAACATGTATTTGGGGGGCAATCAAAATGATATTTGTTGGATCTTGAATTGCTAGTGGTCTCACAACACCTAGATAAGTACTTGTTGACGGAGGAGTAGAAAATACAAATGAAAATTGTGAAAGAATGGAGTTGAAGAGAGAGAGAGAGAGAGAGAGAGAGAGAGAGAGAGAGAGAGAGAGAGAGAGAGAGAGAGAGAGAGAGAGAGAGAGAGAGAGAGAGAGAGTGAAAACGGTTCCCCTACACCCCACGAATGGCCTTCCTCATGTATAGGTTTGGTTCAGCTCTCCCCAGGGGTGGGTACATAAGAGCTGCACTGAAAGAGAAAATAGATCATGATAAGATTATCTCATAGCTGTGTGTATAAAATATTATATAAAATAAAATTATTCAGCTGTGGGGCGAGTTGATAAAGTAACTCGGCTTGCCAAATTTACCCACCGAACTAATTTGCCAAACTAACTGAACGAATTGTTTGACAAGTTGGTTGAGCTAAGATTTGGTGCACTGCATAAGTGAATCAGTTGATATCAGTTGAGCAATTTTGTCGAACTGTCTTGCCCAACTGATTGAATTTGACCGCTATCTGGCACTTCTTCGGAATTTACGTGAAATAATCCGATTTGATCATGTGTTTGACGTTGTCTTATACCTTGAACTCGGTCACAGGGCTTTTATGGCTATACAATCTTATACCTAAAAAAAAGCATTAGCGGGTGATATTAATGACATATATCATGCCGAACCTATTATTCCAACTAAAGTTAAATGCAGGAGACCACATTATTTGCTCAGTAATTGTTGAAATGTTTTTGCAGCAGCTGCTGTTATCATTACTTCATTGAGGTTTTTCTTTTAAGTTTGAACTACTATACTTTATTTATATTGAATTTTTTTAGATTCTGCAAAGTTTCCTTGCATTATCAAGTTTCATTTGAGTGTTAGATCATGCATTCCATGGAAGTTGTATTCCTAGAATAATTGGAAGACAGGGACAAGGGCTACCTTAAAATGTTAGGCTGGAATGTGTAAACATTGAAATTCAGATTTTGTTGTACCTCTGATTTATTGTGTAATATAATTTATTGTATCTCATTCTCTGTTCACAATCAGAACTTGGCTTACCTTGTTATTCATGTCATTGGTATTGATCTGTGCTTGACCTCCATGAAACTTATTTACTTTTGGGAAATTAGCATATGTAGCACACAATTTTCGTGTATTTACGGATCTCTCACCAAAACTTTCATATTTACATACATAACACTATGGTGCTTTAAACTTATGCATGAAAAGCTATATTTCATGTTTCAAGAGTGGCAATAGTGCTATTTTTTTATGTGATATTAAATATTTGAGTGTTGTGTGTAAAGATGAAAGTTTAGGCGTGCCGTATGTTAATACATAAGTATTGTGTGCTATGTATGTAAATGCCCCTTTATTTTTCTTTTTATCAATCTCACGGCTTTGTCTTGAATTCTCACCCCCAGATAGAGTTAGAATCCAACCTATTCATATGCTTGTATCTGAAACTCGTCTTCTTTTATATTTTTATCTATTTCTATGGAAGCTAGGTTGGTAATTTTTTATCTTTTTGAAAAATTTCTATGCTCTTATGGATGTTGTAGGGATTCAAGTGCCTTAGCATATGCTATCAAGCGCTCATGTGAAAACAAAGCTGAAGTTGTCTCCTTAGATGAGAAGGAAAGTGGACTAAGGGCTACCTTGAACTTGGGTCATACATTTGGCCATGTGAGATCACAGTACTTTCGAAATTTTTTTCATTTTTATTTCATACTTTATTTATTATATATTTGTTTTTTTTTTCCAAATCATGGATCTTCATTAGCTTTATCCTTACTATTTTGTGTCGGCTCTATGAATTCTTATTGTTTATTCATCCCTTCTTAGTGCTGCATGACAGCATGCCGTTGATTTTTCACATTTATAATGCTATGTTTGTTAAAATCTTTTAGAAAATAATAGCACAAATTTTTTACATACATGTCATTTTACCTGTGCATGAAAAGTTGTATTTCACTGTTTAAAAGTTAAAATAATGATATTTTTTTATGTGATATGAAACATTCGGGTGATGTAAATGTAAAAAAGCAAACTTTAGGTGTTAGATATGTAAATGCAATGGAATTGGGTGGTATGTATTTAAATGCTTCTAAAACAATTAAGAATCAATTATGTCTCTTAAAGCTTGGTCAGTCTGTATCATCATCGGCTGAAATCTTTCCTGTCTCGTGAAGCTTTGATTTGGAATTGCTTATTTGGGTTTTGTTTCAAGTTGATGTCTTGCTGAAAATTCCACAATTACTTTGGTTTCACACTTTATGCTGCTTGTTTTCTTGACAAAATTTATTTATTTACAGGCTATAGAATCAGGCTTTGGGTATGGGCAGTGGCTCCATGGAGAAGCCGTCGCAGCTGGCATGGTGATGACCTCCCTTCACCCCATTTCACACTTTTTCACCTCTCCACCACAAATTTTTCTTCTCATTTATGCCATTATTGTTCTCGACGGATTAATGACGCTCTTTTCCAACAGGTTATGGCAGTCGACATGTCGTATCGCCTCGGCTGGATCGACAACAGCATTGTAGAGAGAGTCCACAACATCTTGCAGCAGGCCAAACTCCCGACCACTCCTCCTGAGATGATGACCGTGGATCTGTTCAAAACCGCCATGGCGGTATTTGTTCGAAGCCCTTTCAGTTTATTTTACATTTTTTGTTTGGTGCATTTACATACTTACCACCCAATTCTTATGTATTTACATACGCAACAACTGAGCTTTACTTCTGTCATTTTATTCCATCCAAATCCTTCATATCACATAAAAAAATGTCATTTTGTTAACTTCAAAAAATGTGAAACACTCATTTTCAAGCCTGTAAAAATTGAAGTTTAGTTGTTAAATGTAAATACATAAGAATTGATTGGCATGCATGTAAATCTTCCTTTTTGTTTCAATTCTCAGTTTAATAATGCTTTTATTTTTGGATTTTAGGTTGATAAAAAAGTAGCAGATGGTGTTCTACGGCTCATCCTCCTTAAAGGTCCTCTTGGCAGCTGTGTTTTCACAGGGGACTATGACAGTAAAGCACTGGATGAAACTCTCCAAGCCTTCTGCAAAAGCTGACAAAATCTTTCCCACCTTTTTGTACCATAATGTTGTAGTAATCTTTGCACTCTCTTTGTATGTTGTTGTAATTGTTTGAAATTCTTTGCTGCTTTGTTGAGTTATATTGCTGAAGCATGTAGAATAAACACGTGATAATTGTAATATGTATGATTTGAACCCGCAATTTTATGGTGAGGAACTACATGTTTAATCATGAGAGAATATTGCATGCGGAGTTTGGATGGATTCAGATTTCATGCATAATATTGTTGGACATTGTTGTACGATATATGGACCATAGTGTATGCTGTTATTGTACATGAAGTTCGAGTCTGAATGACTCTGCACGCAATAGTTTTTTCTCAGCCATAATGTCACTAACTCAATTATATAATTTATTAGTAAGGCTGATAATTTTGTTAGAACTCTCAATAATTGCTCAAAATGTAATAGGTTCAAAGTGTTATTATTGGGTTTTTTAATAATATGTGATGTGATTCAATCAAAATTGGCCTGTCCGGACTCGTTTCAGCTGGGTTTAGCCGGCGCAGGACTTAAAAATTACATTGATTTTCATGAATTTAATAAATTATAATTTTTGGGGCCTAAATATGTAAATGGGATAATTTTGTGTGTAATGAATGTAAATCCTCCAAAATAATGTTTTTAGGACTCTAAGCTAGTCAAGCCGACTCGAGTTCAGCTCAATAGGTGGCTCATGAACTCAGCTCGTTGAGCAAAC